GGGGCAGGAAGGAGGGGCTCAGAGCTTTCCTGCACTTTCCAGGCTAGGGAGCAGGTGGGGCAATGTCACAGCCTCCTGGGGCTTCTCTCCTGGTCTCAAATTCGACCAGCATACGACAGTTATTTACAACTCTGCAGGTTGCCAACATGCTGTAAAATACAGTGCTTTGCATTTAATACCTCATTTAACAGGGATTAATTTAAAGCACCATACCCATTTTTAAAGTGCTGTATAGCTGCACACTCCTGTTAAGTCATGGCAATAAAGTGCTTTGAAAGTGAACAGCAACTTCTGTACACACCCTGGTTGCATCCAGATGAGCGGCCATGGCAAGTTTTTTTTTACCCCACTACAAAGTGGTCTGGGGCCTGTCACCAGGGATGTGCAATAGGACAGTAGTCTATAATGATGGTTAAGTGGAAATACAGGGTTAGAGGGAGTGCAGAGCATTAAGGGAGAAGATGTTTCAAGAGAGGATTCAGCAGGTAGTGCTGCTCCCTGTGAGCAGGTTCAATGTCTGGATGTAGGTATCTTTTTCTTCAGAGCAACTCACCTAAACCCAGATTTGTCTTAGCAAAAAGAAGCAATTCGTTATACCAGTAAGTGGTCATTTGCCCTCTTGCCTGAATGTTCTGCCCTATCTATGAAGGGAGAGGGCACGGACGAGTCTTACAGTCATACTGGGAGACGTTGCCCATACAGGACAAAGTGAAAGTTACTTTGAGATGCGTGGCACACAAGGTTCTTTGGGTAAATGTGATATCTTTTATTAGACCAACTAAATAGCTGGAAAAATTGTTCTTTGCAAGCTTTCAAGCACAGACACCCTTCTTCCAGTATGTCAGCTTGGTACTTCCTGGTTTTCAGAAACCTGTGCTTTGCTAAACTTGCAGTTGAAGGTACCAGTGGGCAACTGTATGTTAAAAGTTTTTGAGAGAGAATTTCCTGGGCTTTTTTCTGTAGGTGTCAGCTGTTGTCTGGGCAGTTGTAGCTACCACGCAGGTTTGGTTCCCGAGATGTGACTGCAATGGTGAAATGGAAAGGATGCTCTAGCATTCAGACACGGTTGTCCGCACCAGGTGCACTCTGCTATAAAGGAACATGGATAATGGTCGTACTTTTGAAATACAGAGTGGGGAGTTGCGCAGTGGGCAGGGAGAAAAATGAGGCATGATTAAAGCCTTAAAACTCTTATAGTTACTTTAAGCACATGAAAGAAGACTGACATCTCATCCCACACCACAGCCACCCCAACAACATTTCCAGCTAGCCCTCATCCTCCCATAGCAGTGCTGAGTTCAGACAAGTACTTCAGCTACGGACATGGGGGACAGTCAGAGCAGACGCTTCAAGGAAGGATGACATTAAGACAGTAAACAGTTCTTTACAGAAACAAAATGCTTTGGCAACTCTAACTAATCCTAACAATGTCCTTGTGAGGGGGTGAATAAGTAACAGTCAGATTTCTAAACAGGGAAACAGATGTTGATTAAGCAGCTTGCTCAAACCCACACAGCTAGTGAAGGATACAACCAAGATTACAACTGCAAGCTTCTGGCATCACATCTTCTGCTCCATCCACTAAGACCTCTCACATGCCATGTCAGAAAGTGCAATATATGCTAGTTATTTAGTGTCAAGTGTAAAAAATGTATTCAGAAATATGCAAGCAATTGTCAGTACTAGGTTAAAGAATCAATCACTTCCTAGTGTAAGCTTGATTCTCAACCCCAGACACAAATCATCTTGTTTGGAGCCACTATCCCTTAGAGACCTCAGTCTTACAGGTATTCTACTCCCCAGTCTCTTGGCAACAGTCATAGAGAAGTAAGGCTGGAAGGGACCCTGAAGAGATCATCTAATCCATTATCAGTCATCGTAACTTTAGATTGGTATTAAGAGTACCTGCCGGTAAACACCAAACTTGCATAATCAATTTATGCAAACTCCTGTAACCTTTACTCTTGTGCAGTCTATTCGGCCTAACAGTGACTGCTGCTACAAATCAATAATCCACTCATTTGTGGATTATGGCAGATAAGGGGACAGCTAGCAGCTATTTATGATTTAGAAACAGTAAATAAACTCCCTATAATCGTGCACATGCACTTTGTACACACAGACCACAAGTAAATACTATAATAAAAAGGGCAAAATAATTTGAGACTTTTTTGGCACCCAGATGCATTTATTTTCAGCACCCTCTGCTTTAAAAGGCACAAAAATGTATTCACAGTGAACACACAGTGATATGACAATTTTGTAATCTTAAAAGAGTTATTTATAGAACATGCACTACAGATGCATTTCAATTTTTATTAACATGTGCTCAGTAATTTACCATTCTTAAAAACCGGAGACAACCAGATGGTATTAGCTTTTAAAATAAAGCCTCCAAGCTACAAGTCACAGAAATACGAAAGCAGTGGTTTGCAATCATTTTAAACTCAAGGCACCCCTTGTTCGATTTGAGGAATCCCTTAAAAAATGCCAGCTCTTACCTTTAATAATAAAGTAATAAAAAATAATAGAGCAGTTTTCTTTTGTGAGGAACGCAGAAAAGACCACACAATAGGTCAGCTATGAATTCCTACTTGTAACCTCTCGGTTTATCTTGTGAATCCTGTTTGCAAGTCACAGCACCCTGGTTCAGATTCATTGTAGCAGAATAATCTAACAGCCAACAAAATTGTTTTCTTTCCTACTTTTCATTTAATTTGCCCTTAGCATTAGATGGGGAGGAGTGGGAGAAGGAGTGTTACACAGTTTCACCTAAAACCAGTGTTTAATAGGTTTTGCGTTAAGATACATTTAAATCTGCCCTTAAATGCGATCAAAAATGGATACAGCAAATACATAAATACTTAGGTTTCATTTTTCCACTTTGCAAGCATCATTCTGTTTAATTCAGAGTTGAAAATACTTTCATATTTGAAAAAGTGAGATTTAAAGATATTCTTTGCCTGAATGAGAAAGGGAAATTAATAATGGATGATGCAGAGAAGGCTGAGGTGCTTAATGCCTTTTTCACTTCAGCCTTCACAAAAAAGGTCAAGTACCAGAAGACTTAACAGAAGGATAAGGAAGGAGATAATCGGCCTAGTGTAGGAAAACAACAGGTTAGAGACACCTAGGGAAGCTGGATGTTTTTAAAGCAGCGGGGGCAGAGAAGACTGACCCGAGCACTCAGAGATGGCTGAGATCAGTACAAAGCCACTGACGATTATCTCCAAGACCTT